GTAGAATTTTTCTAGTCATCACGGTTTTTGAGTTATAAACACCACTCAAATATTGAATACTCAACTTCTAAAATACTTAATTCTTTATAACTCAAAAACCGTGATGATTAGAAAAATTCTACGTGAAAAAATCTATTAGAACCCGTTTTTACGTTTCCGGATAGCCGAGATACAGGAGGTTTCTGAAAATCTTAAATTTTGAAACACTCCCTATATATATCAAAAACGAAGAGGGCTATGAAAATTTGGTTTGCGCCATTATAAGTTTCACAAAAAAGTAGCTCAGGTTCGCGAAAGCCGCAACTTTCTATCTTTCATAGTAACTGAAATACCCTGCAAACCCATCGAAATTTGGACACCCTGCTGTACAGTTTATTCGTTTTGGCCGCATTTTTTACAAATAGATTTCTGGAACATTGAAGGCAATGTTGCTCGCCTGCAATAGACAATTTTCCCGATTTTGATATAAATAATTATTTATTAAATTACTAATTAATTTAGTTTTATTTTGATTTAATTTTTTTAATGATTTTAGGTCGTGTTTATTACGTTAATCATAAGAATCGAACAACACAATGGGAAGATCCAAGAACTCAAGGTCAAGAAGATTTGGATAATGTACCTTTACCGCCTGGTTGGGAGATTAGATTCACGGAAGACAATAAACAATACTTTGTCGATCACAACACGAAAAGTACAACATTTGATGATCCAAGACCGGGAGCTCCGAAAGGTCCAAAAGGAGTTTATGGCGTTCCAAGAACATATGAACGATCATTTAGATGGAAAATTGGACAATTTAGGTATTTTAAAATATTATAATAATTATTTAAATCTTTTCTTAATCAAATATTTTCTTTCTTTTAGGTATTTATGTCAGAGTAACGCGTTGCCAAGTCATATAAAGATATCAGTAACGAGACAAACATTATTTGAGGATTCGTACCATGCCATAATGCGTTTACCTGCTTATGAACTGCGTCGAAGACTCTACATAATTTTTAAAGGTGAAGAAGGTTTAGATTATGGCGGTATAAGTCGCGAATGGTTCTTTTTGTTATCACACGAAGTCCTCAATCCAATGTATTGTCTTTTTGAATATGCCAATAAAAACAATTACAGCTTACAAATAAATCCAGCTTCATACGTGAACCCGGATCATTTGCTCTACTTCAAATTCATCGGCCGATTTATCGCAATGGCTTTATATCACGGCCGGTTTATTTATTCCGGCTTTACAATGCCCTTCTATAAACGCATGTTAAACAAAAAACTAATGATGAAAGATATCGAAAGCATCGATCCCGAATTTTATAATTCATTAGTATGGATTAAGGATAATAACATCGATGATTGCGGGCTTGAAATGTATTATAGCGTTGATTTCGAAGTGTTGGGCCAAATTGTACATCATGAATTAAAAAAAGGTGGCGATAAAGAGCGTGTCACCGAAGAAAATAAAGAGGAATATATCACAATGATGACCGAGTGGAGAATGACCAGGGGTATTGAGACTCAAACGAAAGCTTTTCTAGACGGTTTTAACGAAGTTGTTCCATTGGAGTGGTTAAAATATTTCGATGAAAGGGAATTGGAATTATTATTGTGTGGAATGCAAGAAATTGATGTTGAAGATTGGCAAAGGCATACTATTTATCGACATTATACAAGAAATAGTAAACAAGTTTTATGGTTTTGGCAGGTTAGTAACTATTTTATAATAAAACCTTGATAGGGAGTTCTAATACTAGTGTTAGTTCTAGTTTTAGCTGTTATTCAGCATTAGTTTGTTGTATATTTTTCATTGAAGTAAAACTAGAACTAACACTTTTGTGACTACAACTAGAAATATTTCTGGACCTCAGAGCCAAACTGTATTAAGTAAAATTTTTTGAATTTTATTGACTTAATACTGTTTGGTTCTAGCAATGGACTTAATATCTTGTGATTTAACACTGTTTAGCTCCTACTAATTTATAGATACATGGGACTTGACACTTAATTATTATTAAAAAGCCATGGTAGAACAATGCAAATTTGTACAATTGCAATTTTGTAGAACAAAAACTAATTCATAAAAAACACTAAAAATATGAAATATTTAATGAGAGATCACAGCAAAATGTTGTAACTGAAAACTATCAATCTTAAAGTTCAAATAACACACAAATAATTAAAATAAAAATCATTAAACTTTTGGTCGTCTTCCTTGAGGTTACCATAGAAGATTTTTAAAGTATTCATGGAATCTTTTAGATACTCATGTTAGTAACTTTTGAAAATCATTATACTTTTTAATTGAAAGAGGTTTTAGTGTCTCTCTTATTGGTTTCAGCAGCAATAGTTAGCATTGGGAATAACTTCCTTAGAATTAACAGTACTTTTCTCTTTGCGTGTTCGTCTTTTAGTGGCTGTATTAAAATCAACTTGTTCCAAATTTCCTTGATTTAAATCTGTTTTAAAATATAATACTCCAGGTGTTTCTCTTAAAAATTTCATAAGAACCATTTTAGATATGAACAAGTTTTGATTATTTATAGTGTTTTTATTATTGTAAGATCCGGATTTTCAGACAAGAGATTAAAATTCTTAAAGTCCATGGTTTCCATTTCAATTTTATTACCACAAAGTCTGAAAAGCTGTTGCGAATTCCATGTAGTTATTAGAGAAAATTGTTTTATTTCTCTATTAGTGCATAAATTGTATCCGCTTCCATGTGGGTATATCCTCTTAAAAGGTATTTATGTTCTATGCATTTTATGGATAATCATCTGATAATTTCTATTTTGTGATGGACAGTTATCCCTCCAGATAACAATTTTTCCCATAGACTCTTTTACATTTAAATTAATGTATATCAGAATACATGAAGCAATACATTTCATTTCCAGGTGAAGCAATATCCTATCTCCTCTGTTGCATCATAAACTGTATAATAGAAAATCCATAGTTTTAAAGAATAGAAACTCTTAGCATTCATTAATAGAGGAGTGAGTATGCATTTTTGTAAATCCACCGACAGTATTTTGATGTTCGTCTCGGTTTTGTAAGCCTCTTTATCCTGTCGCTTTAATTTATACCGATTATCTGCATCAAGAAGATGTGCGTAGTAGTTAGTTTGTAATAAACGACGTTCTTCCAGGAACGCAGATTCTTTGTGTTTGATAACATAACCATCACAAGTGTCACATGTATCATTCCCTGGTTTTTTGAAAGATAAATTAAATTACGAATTGAAAATTGCTTGGGAATATCTTGTTTAGGAATTTGGTTTCTTAATAAAAATGTTGGGATGGATGCCTAATTACTTTCTTTGAGGTTTATTTCTAGAATAGTGTGATTCTATACACGGGAACTTCTGTATGTGCTTTCTGATCTTATTTCTTACATGTAAGGAAATTTTGTTTGAGGGTTCATGTTTACCCCTTTGATCAGGTATTAAGATCACCAACTTGTCGTTTCGATAATGCGTTACATACAGAGGTTTGGGATATATTTCAGGTGTTAAGAAAATAAGTACGACACACACTAAACTTCTTACCATTTACACAAAAAGATACTTCAACGACGTTGTTCTTTTTCCAGCAGGAACACAGTTAACTGGAACTTCTTCAATACAGCTAACTATAAATTGTCTTTTCTAATCAAGTTCGATGCTACAATCCCAAAATTGTGAGTGAATTAGCGCACGACTCTCAACTGATATGTTCTGTTTGCGCTGCTTTTTGTATTCATCACGACAATAAGCTCATTTCATTGGTGATTGACAGATATTCTTCGCCAGCAGCTCCCCTTTGCGTTCTAATGTTTTTCTTCCAATTGACAGAATTTCTTTTTCTTTTCTTTCCTTTAGTTTCTCGAATTTCTACAGCTTCTTCCTCTTGTTCTTCTTCCAGTTCACTTGTATCACTGCATCTCTCAGGTAGATAAGGTGGGCCCTTGAATTGACTGCCTAAGTCTGACGTCACTGAGCTGGGCGGAGCTTATACCGACTCCAAACAATTTCGTTGCTAACGATAAACCGCCATAAAAATGTCATTTGAAATATCATTTAAAAAGTTACTTAGTTTATTTTATTTTAACACTAATTGAAAAATGCATATGGTGATTTACCGTTAGCAACACAGTTAGCAACGAAAATGTTTGGAGTCGGTATAAGCTCCGCCCATCTCTGTGACGTCAAGGCTTAGGTTGTCTATTATTTGCGTCTACTTCATTTGCTTTATATTGAAGTCCACCCTGTCATTATTTTGAATAATAATATTTTCAAGAATATTATTTCGCTATTTTTATCTTCATTTACATTGTTTACAACAAAATGCTCTGATGAGCTTTCTGATATCTGAGACTCGTTTGTATTATTTCTGATAATTTCAGAGATGGTATTGTACAGGGTGGTTCAAATTCGATGTCCAAATAAGCTATCTTGGAAACTATAAGAGTTAAAAAAAAAAGTAGCTTACATGTCTCGATTTCTTCTTTTAAATAAAAATCGAATGTCGAAAACCTCAAAGCGCTATCGTCTTTTGTTTTTCCCTTAGAGGCCAAATAATTAAAAATATCGTAAAACTAGCAAGTTATCTTGGTTATTATTATAGGTGGAGTATTATAACTGAGACATTATATGGACACCTTTTTAATAGAATTTGATGACGTAGTCAAAAAAATGTTTTCCGTTTTAGATTTTGAGATATTATGACAATTTTCGTTTTTTTAAATGAAAACAACCACTGATTATTCGCTTATTAAATTCGTTATTTTTTTCTGATTACAAAAATATAGTTCGGCTGTTCGACAGGTCTATTTCTTATTGTTTTAGAAGAAATCTAAAAATATACTTTTTTTTATAAAATTTCTTAACGCCGCCGAAATCTAGTGTCGAAGAAATGATATTTACAGTTTCCTGTAAATTACAGGGCGATATTTAAATTACGAGGTATTATTTTTCTGGTATTTAAAAACAAATACGACGTTTTATAAAAGTGACATTTAATTTTGACAAATTGTTGTGACGTTGGTTACAGTTACTAACATTGAATTTGTGTCACGTTGACGTTTAAACTTTATTCAAAAATTTATTTAAAAATAAATTTATGGAATCAATTTCAATAATCGTGGACAAAGTATAGTATTCCACTCACATATAATAAGCTATTATTCACTCAGGTTAATTATGCCACTCGCTACGCTCGTGACATAAACTTAACCTTAGTGAATAATAGCCCTCATTATATGCTCATATAATAATATACTATTATTACACCAACTGTTAATACGGAAATATTTAATGGATTGCGTTGTTTTGGACTGGAGAAATATGTTTTTTTAATTTTTAGCTATAGTACTGTAATTTACAGGAAACTGTAAATTTAATTTCTTCGACGACACTAAAAAAAAGTTTATTTTTAGCTTTATTCTAAAACAATAAGAAATAGACCTCTCGAACCCTATATTTTTGTAATCAGAAAAAGATAACGAATTTAATAAGCGAATAATCAATGGTTGTTTCCATTTAAAAAAACGAAAATTGTGATAATATCTCAAAATCTAAAACCGAAATTTTTTTTTAACTTCGTCGTCAAATTCTCTGTAAAAAACTGTCCATATAATGTCATAGTTATAATACTCCACCTATAATAATAACCAAGATAATTGCACTTGCTGGTTTTACGATATTTTCAATTTTGGCCTCTAGGGGAAAAACCAAAGACGATAGCGCTTTGAGGTTTTCGACATTGAAATTTATTTCAAAAAAGAGATCGAGACATGTAAGCTATTTTTTTTTCTAACTCTTATAGTTTTCGAGATAGCTTATTCGGACATCGACTTTGAACCATCCTGTATATACTGTTATTAAAAAAATTACATCTCCTGTAGCATTGCCACATCCGGTTGCAATAATTTGCACATTTTCATGATCTCAGCATCAGCTGTAATATTATCTTGCGTGTTATCTGTCACAGAAGCTAAAAGGTAAACGGTAATTTTTTAATTACCGTTCTTCTCCGTCAAAAGTGAGATTATAACAGGTTTTTCAGATATTTCGTTGCACTTGGCTTGTACTAACGTCAGTTGCAATACTTGTTTGCCTCTTGATGTCATTATGTTGATCCCACTAGTCACTTATTAAATATTAAAGCAATGTAAAAATACAATATAATACAATGTTAAAATAATAATAATATTATAACAACTGATGTACAAAACAATGTGTAAAACAAAATAGTATTAAGTCCGGACGTAATACCTAAATATTGGATATCTTTTAGAGCCAAAGAGAATTAAAAACAATTAATACTATTTGGTTCTGTTTAATAGAGGACTTCATATCAATAATTGATATGAAGTCTTGACTTAATACGCGTCTCCATAGGAAAGAGTGCAAAAAAATACTTAAGGGACAATCAAAACCTCAAAAATTGAAAAAAAATTGACTTAATACTGTTTAGCTCTGAAGCCCAGATTTGAGTTTAGCCTAATGCTAAACCGAATGTTTCTAGTTATAGATCCAGTGTTAATTCAAATGCTAGTGTTAATTCTAGATTTAGTTGTTATTCAGCATTAGATTATTGTATATTTTCCATTAAAGTAAAACTAGACCTAGAACTAAAAACTTTCGGATTTAGCTGTGTAGCCAAAGATTATATCAAGGTTATCTTGTTGTGCTTTACTATAATATATACTTTAAGTATTACTAATTTTGTTGTATCTTTTTAGTTTGTAAAACAAGCTGATAATGAAAAACGAACTCGCCTTTTACAATTTGTAACCGGAACATGTCGAGTACCAGTTGGTGGTTTTGGCGAATTAATGGGTTCGAATGGTCCGCAACGTTTTTGCATTGAAAAAGTAGGCAAAGACACGTGGTTGCCTCGTTCACACACGTGTTTCAACAGGTTGGATTTGCCGCCGTACAAAAGTTACGATCAGTTGGTTGAAAAATTGAATTACGCCATAGAAGAGACGGATGGTTTCGGGCAAGAATAAGATACGGTGCCCGCAACGATGCGTAGGACGTACCTGAGAATTTTAGAGTTTCTAAACGGGCCTATTACGTTATTACAACACTACTAGATGAGATTGATGAAAATAGGAGGTGGGGAAGAAGTTTTGAAAATTAATGAAGGAATAGGGGGATTGATAAAACGGAGACTGATTTATAAAACAAATTAAAGAATAAATTCCCCCTTTATTAATTAAATAAAGAAAACCCACCCCGCGTTTAATCGAGTGTTTAATGCAAATACAGTGTTTATCTAATTCAATTGTGGTTGATGATTTATTATTATTTTTATTATATTAGCTCGGCTTTTTTGTTTAATTTTATTTTCTTTTGTTGTGATATAATCTATATAATTTTTTGAGCTTAGTATTTTTTCCTTTTGAATTTATTCGCATTTATGGAGGAGGCTTCTTATTTCTTTGTGTACATAAAAACTCTAACTATTATGTATCTATCATGGTATAGTTAAAAGCTGTATATTTTTAGCTTAAACAATATTTATACGTATATAATTATTATTATAGCATTGTACATCCGTTTTCTTATTATTTCGTTTTTTTGTTTTTGTTTCATTGCAATGATAAGAAGGAACGGTAATAACGTGTGTAATAACATTCCAAGAAAATAGGGCGCACGAGAACGATAACAATCTTCACCTTTTTCTTTCTTATGTAATAAGTAGAATTTTGAGGCAAATTAAGTCGCAGTGTTTCTCCTTTTTTTCATTTAATTGTAAATACAGTTTTAAATAAATATCTATTAAACTATTAGTATTTTTAATTTATTATTTAGATAATATACTTCCAATCATCTACACAAAATAAATTTATTCCAAATTATAAAACTGTTTATATTCATGTGTTGTTATCTATATTTTTGGTAATAGTGTAAGTACTAGCTATTGTTATTCTTCCCAGAAAAATGTCTGGAAGTAAGCAAGGTAAAGCCAGGCCTGTAATAGATGTTGTCTCATTGGAAAGAGTTATGAAGGAGGTTACAGATAATAATGTAAAAGTGTGAACCGCAGCTAAAATGTTTGGAATTTCCAAAACTATTCTGTTTCGTCATATCTCCTTACACCGGTCACAAATTGAGAATAATGCACAGGGAAATCCAAATAATACAGGCTACGTTTATACATCAAAAAATGATACTCATAAAGTGTTATCTGTTACAAAAAGAGAAGCAATGAAACTCGCGTTTGAATTTGCTCATGAAAACCTCATTAAAAAACCAAATAGTTGGAAAGAGAAAATGTGGTTAAGAGATTTAAGAAAACGGCATACAAATTTGATTTTACGAAGAGACGAAGTCATTCCTGTGCTTTAGTTCCACCAGCTTTAATCGGCAGACTTTCTTCAATAATTTACAAGATGTAATGACAATTCCACAGTTCACACACCACCTAAAATTTATCATCAAAATGTGTTAAGCAAGTAGGAAGTGTTACATCTAGTGAAAGAGGAATTATTATGATTGTTGTGGTTAATGTAATTATGTGACACCCATGTTAATTCTTTCCAGACTACATTTCAAGTCCCACATGCTTATTGGTACTCCAAAAAGATCCATTGGCAGCGCAAATCCATCTGTGTGGTCTAATGAAAGGCTTTTTGCTATTAATTCTTGATCACAAATCGCACATTTTGATTCCAGCGATTAACTTAGCAAACGAAAATAGCGTTGTAATGCTAATTCATCCCACTTTACACAAGCTTCAATCGTGTAGTGTTTGGTCCTTTCAAATCGTCTTATAATGCTTATAAGAGCTGGGCTACTAGAACATGCTGGAAAATTAATTAGCATATGATATTGCTGGAGTACAGGAAAAGCATTTAGTAAATCTTTTACTAAGGAGAATATGGAAAAAGGATTTTAGGTGACGAGCATTCATCCCTTCAATGACCAAGTTTTTCGATGCGATGAATTTCTATCCTCATTTGTCACTAACCGAGAATTTAGACATGACACTTCAGGATGTGATATCAATTCCTCCAATCCCCACTGCAGCAGTGCAGGTACGATACTATCAGCACCAGGAGCTTTGAAAGGTGAAAAGCTGTTTGTTGCCCACCTCATTTTATCATGTGTGCAGATCTTCTCAGCTAATAGCCAATCTTCTGCAGTCGGTGTGTGGTTGGTGTCTCTATGAGCTACTATAGAGGCACATTCATTAGAAGGTGTAAGCTTTGTAGAAGGTTGTCGATAAAGCAACCGTCATCCTTTTGCAATAAACCTATTCGCCGATCCGGGTCTGAGGCCAGAACCCTTTTAAGACGAGAAAGTTCGTTTCCAGTTTCTCTTCTTTCGACGAACACTTTTTTTAAACTCCGATAATTTGCCTTTATAGCAGTTCCAATCAGAATGTAATCTCGAGCTTTTGGCTTTATTGACGGCTGCTCTGACCTCCCTCTTAAGGTCGCTGAGCTCAGTGTACCACCACAGAGTGGCACGTCTTGAATCAGCTTCCAGATGGAGTGGGCAAGCCTTTTTATACGCAATTGTCAGGGAATCTGTCAAGACCAAAGATTGTTCCTCAATATCCCTGCTCAAATTGGGCCGGATTAACCTTATATCGCTCAAACACCCTGATAATACCGACTTAAACTTGTTCACGTCAGTATTCCTGGGTCTTTTTTATACCTAGATCAAAAGTGATCCACCTGCGGTCCTGACATTGAAACCAAGTCAGAGACTTTCCAGTTAATTCCACCAAGATATTAAGATCCAACTGTATCGAAGCCACGTCTTCAGCATAGGCCAAAACACCAGACTTAAATGTGTTTATTAAGTCGGTAATAAATATTACAAAATGTAAAACGTTACTCCGCAGTAGAAAAGAAATTGAACCTAAAACTCCATTACAGTTTCTTACCTTTATAATCTCGTACGAAGAAGATGTTTTTCCAAACCTGAGAATCGCGATTCAAATACTCCTTACTATTTCAGTATTAATTGCTAGCTGTGAACGTTCGTTTCAGAACAAAAGTTGTAGCAAATTTTATTCTTAACAACATTGCTCTCTTGCACTTTTGCTCTTTGATGCGTCAAAATCAAGAAAAATGCGAAAATATGAATATTGGATGAATTTGTTGAAATGGGGCATATTGGAAAAGAATTTTTAGAACAAAAGTTGTAGCAAATTCTATTCTTAACAATATTGGTCTCTTACACTTTTGCTATTAGATGCGTCAATATCAAGAAAAATACGAAAATATGAAAATTGGATGAATTTGTTGAATTTTTAAGTTCTTAATGGTAACACTCGAGAAACGGAGCATTTTCCAAAAAAAACTTTTAGAACAAAAGTTGTAGCAAATTTTATTTTTAACAACATTGCTCTCTTGCACTTTTGCTCTTTGATACGTCAATAACAAAAAAAAATACGAAAATATGAAAATTGGATAAATTCGTTGAATTTTCAAATTGGTAATGGTTACACTTTCTGAAACGAAGCATGTTGCAAACAAACTTTTGGAACAATAGTTATAGCAAATTCTATTCTTAACAATATTGCTCTTTTACACTTTTACTGTTAGATGCGTCAATAACAAGAAAAATACGAAAATATGAAAATTGGATGAATTTTCAAGTTCTTAATGGTAACACTCAAGAAACGGGATATTTTCCAAAAACAACTTTTAAAACAAAAGTTGTAGCAAATTTTATTCTTAACAACATTGTTCTCTTGCACTTTTGCTCTTTGATGCGTCAATAACAAGAAAAATACGAAAATATGAAAATTGGATGAATTTGTCGAATTTTCAAATTGGTAATGGTTACATTTGGGAAACGAAGCATGTTGCAAACAAACTTTTGGAACAATAGTTATAGCAAATTTTATTCTTAACAATATTGCTCCTGTACACTTTTACTGTTAGATGCGTCAATAATAAGAAAAATACGAAAATATGAAAATTGGATGAATTTGTTGAATTTTCAAGTTCTTAATGGTAACACTCAAGAAACGGGGCATTTTCCAAAAAAAAAAATTTAAAACAAAAGTTGTAGCATATTTTATTCTTAACAACATTGCTCTCTTGCACTTTTGCTCTTTGATGCGTCAATAACAAGAAAAATAAGAAAATATGAAAATAGGATGAATTCGTTGAATTTTCAACTAGGTAATGGTTACACTTGGGAAACGAAGCATGTTGCAAAACAATCTTTTGGAACAATAGTTGTAGCAAATTCTATTCTTAACAATATTGCTCTCGTACACTTTTACTGTTAGATGCGTCAACAACAAGAAAAATACGAAAATATGAAAATTGGATGAATTTGTTGAATTTTCAAATTGGTAATGGTTACACTTGGGAAACGGAGCATGTTGCAAACAAACTTTTGGAACAATAGTTATAGCAAATTTTATTCTTAACAATATTGCTCTCGTACACTTTTACTGTTAGATGCGTCAATAACAAGAAAAACACGAAAATATGAAAATATGATGAATTTGTTTTTAGTTATTAATGGCAACATTCGGGAAACAGAGCACGTAATAAAAAAGCTTTTGGAACAATAGTTGTAGTAAATTTTACTCTTAACAATAATGCTTTGTTGCATTTTTGCTCTTAGTTAGATGCGTCAACATCAAGAAAAATGTGAAAACATGAAAATTGGATGAATTTGTAGAATTTTCAAATTGGTAATGGTATAACACATGGGAAACGGAGCATGTTGCAAACAAACTTTTGGAACAATAGTTATAGCAAATTTTATTCTTAACAATATTGCTATCTTTCACTTTTGCTCTCAGATGTGTCAATATCGAGAGAAATACGAAAAATGAGAATTGGATGAATTTGTTGTTTTACAAGTCGTTAATAGTAACATTGGGGAATCGAGGCATACTACAAAAAAACTTGTTGATCAATATTTGTTGCAAATTTTATTCTTAACAATATTGCTCTCTTGCACTTTTGCTCTTAGATGCGTCAATATTGAGAAAGATACGAAAATATGAAAATAGTATGAATTTGTTGCATTTTCAAGTTGTTAATGGTAACACTCGGGAAATGGAGCATATTCCAAAAAAACTTTTGGAACAATAGTTACAGCAAATTTTATTCTTAACAATATTGCCTTCTTGCGATTTTCCCCTTGGATGCGTCAATATCAAGAAAAATATGAAAATTTGGTGTTGTTGAATTTTCAAGGTCTTAATGGTAACACTCGGGAAATTTGGCATATTGGAAAAGAACTTTTAGAATAAAAGTTGTAGCAAATTCTATTCTTAACAATATTGGTTTCTTACACTTTTGCTCTTTAATGCGTCAATAACAAGAAAAATACGAAAATATGAAAATTGGATGAATTTGTTGAATTTTCAAGTTGTTAATAATAATAATTTTTTACTCTTAACAATATTCCTCTCGCTCTTGCTCTAAGGAGAATTTTATGAATTTTGTTTAGAATTAAAATTATTTTTTACATATCTTTGAGCTCTCTTAAGTGTGGAAAGAGAAAAGTTGGAAATAATCGACTTTGATTACTTCATCAATGTCGATTATTTCTAAATTTGCTTCATCAAAGGCAAGAAAAATGTATAGGTACTCAATATATTAGATATTTGTATGAATGTATTATGATATTATTATTATTAACAAATAAGTATACATTATATGTAAAGTATTAACTTTTTTGTAGAAAATTCTGTATATTCCAATATTTTTTCTGGAATTTTTCATCATATAATGTTAAATAATTTTTAATATTAATATTACTTTCGCAAAAATACCTACTTATAGCTTTTGTCATATTAATACTTAAAACTTGTCCCATAGTACAACTGTAGGTGATCCAAGATTCAACAAGATGCTGTACCTTGGAACACCTGTTTTTATTATGTTTAAGAATTTATTTCTATATCATCTTTTTTATTTTTGTAAAACATAAACATTGTACAAAAGTCTAAGGACCATAAGGTAAAACATTCTCCCTTAATTCATATTTTTTATTAATTATTTAAAAAGGCAATATTTACAATCATACACAACAAATAATATTTTATAAACTATATTTCTTTTTAAGTTATTCTCTTTCGTTTCGTTTATTTTATATATATTCTCCTCCCTAACTAAAATATTTATCAAATGGGAACCAATTGTGTGGTTTTTTAGGTTCTATCCTATCATTACCACTACTTTTCAAAAAACCAGCTAACTCATTTTCATCCATATTAACTAAATTCTCTGTAACAACTTGTTTTCCATCTTTATCTGTTCTTGTTATCACTGTATATTCCTTATCACCCCATTTTTTAGTTACTACATTTTCTTGATTACCTTGACTATCCTTTACAGTTCTTTGAGTCTCAATTGACTAGAAACATTAAAAATTAAAAAAAATCAAAATAAAAATAAAAGAAAATACCCCATCAGAATTCCTTATTGTTTTTGAAGACATACTTTGCCCAAAAGATTTAAAAATACTTTGGTTGGGTGGTTTATAAGGAGTTAAAGAATTTTTTTCTTTAAACATTGAATCCAAATCATTTGGTTGTATTCTATGAATAAAATAATCAAAGTGAGGAAGTTTTTTAATGATTTTAAAATCTTACTGTCCATCTACATCATCATCAGAACGTTTTTGGACATCTGCATTAGGTATATGATAACCAGGCTTTAAAAACTGATCTCTCAGCGAGTTCCCTTGAGGGGGTTCATCTGAGCCTTCTAAAAAATCGCCAAATTGCGTTCCAACAGAATTTCGATCGCTAAACCCTAAATCAACAAGGATTTAATTTAGGAATAAAAATGTATTAAATTTATATTATACCAAAAAAGGAGTCATCATGATGAAATCCAAAATTCTTCAACATATCCTCCATTTGTTTCTCAAAGTACTTTTGCATTTCAATCGGATTAGAGAAGATTTGGAAACCAAATGGTTCATTTTCCCTTGGGTTTTGATCAGATGGATCATATTCGCTACAAAAAATAAAATTACACTTTACCAGTTATCAAATTACAATCCAATTTCAATTTACTCTAATTCGTCTTCATCGGTTCTCAAGTAATGGGACCTAAAACGATACAATTACGCAATTTGTTCAAGAATTTTAATTTTAATATGTCATAAATACCTCGAGTTGTAATCGTGGTTGCTTTCTCTTTGCGATGGAAGAAAAAGGCCTTTAAAGAAACCGAAAAGATCCATTATTGTGACGAAACGAAATAGTTTTTAACAGAAATTTTATGTGTTGCGTATTAATTTAACACGAAACGACGTCCAATTGTGTCTGATGAAATGATCTAGATTCTTCTGAATGTCAACAACAGCTGATTAATGACAGGACTGCTGTCACAGGAGATTAAATTTGAAGTGGTTTTAACTTAGTTTAAATTTAGCATTTAGAAATATAATATATAACAATTAATTAAAAAAGTAACACAATTAATAAAAAAAATCGTTTATTAGAGTATGAGAATTAATTTAAATGTTAATTTATAGGTTAGGTTTGTATTTGACAAAATTGTAGCTACCAACTATAGACGTTAAAAAATTCTTCAATAAATCTTTATTATTATTGTTTATTAAACGAAGATAAGAAATGTTATAGTTTTATTTAAACCTAAAAGCTTAATAAGAGAGATTTTTAATTAATTCAATATTAATTTTAAAATTTTTACATTTAAATTTGACAGATAGTGTTGGTCAAAATTCAAAGTTGCCAACGTTTCGACTTAAATAACCACCGTGTTTAATTACAAAATTACATTTACATCTTCTTAAAAGTATTGATTATTGCTTTATCTGTGAATTCGAATAAATTATTAAGCATTTGAGATTAAATTAGCGTTTTCATTAAAATCTTAATGGTGTATTGTCTCAGTACAAAAAAATCTAACAAAACAAACGTTTAATTTACTACCTATAAAAAAGGAGATAAAAGGATTACAAATAAATACCTTGTGACTGTGTGTGATCCTAGATAAACTATATTAATCACATCTGCTCAATTAAATTAGGTCAGAAGCTAAATAACAGAAGGGAAAATATTTGATATCATAAACTATGGCTTCTATTTGGATACAAAATTTATCTCTTTGTGAGTTACTGTTTTTTATATAATGTTATCTATATTATAGTCTCGTTTATAGTCATGGTAATAACGGTATATATCCATAGTTTTCGAAGTGTTTATTAGTTATCAAAACTTGATGTAACCTATATCTAATCTAAAACTTTTTTTGGCAGATAAAGTCAAAATTTTTCGTATCCCACTTCTATTAAACGAACGATACCACCATGGAGTGCATACCTAAGTACAAACCTATAAAGAGAATCAGAAAGAACCTGTTTGAGCCGCCGCCGTACTGTAAAACGTTCGATCGAAAAATGGCATTAAAACATTCCGCATGTATCCCTGTTAAACTTGAAGTTTCTGATCCCTCTAAGATATTACAACTGGTTGAAACAATGAATGATGCCAACTCTAAAGGTTTAGAGAAAAAAATAAATAGATATGTAAGTTAATATTAATTAAAAGCAAACAGAAAAAGTGATAAGATTTTTTTAAGCTTCAAAGAGAAACTGAATCTCAGCTGGTTTTTTTAATTGGCATAATGCTAAATGAAGCAACAATACAGGTCGTTGGTCCTGAAAAGATTGACAGAAGAAAATGTAAACTTTCCGAAGATGTTGTAGAAAATTTGTGTTCAGAATCTCTCGATTATTATACAATGGAGAATTTGAATCAGGTGTTTCAAACAATGATTTTGGGAATTACAGGGACAGATGATTTTAAGTCGGTTATTGTTCCTATTTGTGGTAAAACACAATCAGGTAATTACTTATAACAAAAAAATTTGTATTCAAAACATAAAAAGTCCTTATTTTTAATTAAATATAATTCAATTTTCCTTTGCACACGAGGTCCTGATCAAAGAACATGAAATATTCCAAGGAATTCAAACTTAGGACTCAAGAATTAACACACACCCAATCTAAATAATTCTAACTTAATTCTTATTATTAAATTTCTTTCTTTTATTCATAATTTGTATAATAAATCGATTAATTAATTTTTAGGTCCTGCTGTAGTTTTAGCATGTATAATAAATCCGAAAAAAGAGACTGAATTCTGTGTGAAATTGGTCAATGAAACGTTTAAATTTTGTTTAACGGTCTTATTAAATACAACAGCCTCTGAAGAAGAATCTAGAGCTCGACAAGCATGTCAAACGCTTTTGGATGTAGCGAAAAAGCTGTTTCAACATTTAGACGATTTTGATGATCTTCTCAGAGAAATTATGGTGGAAGCGCGGAATCTAGTCAATGCTGAACGGTGTTCGTTATTTTTAATCGATAGCAGTGGGGAGAATCTAGTCGCTAAAGTGTTTGATGGTAGCAGTGAGGGTGTTGATGTGAAAATATCCAAAAATATGGGTATGTATCAAAATTTTTTTAATAATAGACGTTGTTTTTAAATTTAAAAATGCGTCAATTGAACTATAGTACTAATAAATATAATATAAATAATTAATGGATTGACAAATTAGGTACAATCCACCCAAAAGATTAATAATCTTGATAAACCTTCAAATTTTGAGAATATTTTACCCTAAACAGGAATAAAATCAGTTTTCACCTATTAAATTGTTTCTAATTATAACAAAAAATGTGATGTAATTAAACTAATTGGGATTACGTATGATAACATTGTATTGTTTTTTGTCAAACTAATACCAATTCATCAGATTCTAAAGCGGTTCGTCCTTGAAATTTTTTTTATGGTGTTGAGTACATTTTTTTGTTTCTCAATCAAATTGTTACCAATAACTTAAGTAAAGGTGTAATGAAGGGCAAAAACAGGATTTTTAATAAACTTCCAAGACATCCAGGAAATTACCGGTGTGAAGACAGCAGTAAAAATTTCCGATGATACCCGAACGCCCATAGACGTCCGTAATACCGGACACACGGGGGCTCAATTTTTTCGAACAAACAAACATTACGTTATCAACGTAAGAAGTTAATTACGTATATTAAAAGTAATTAGACAAAATTAAAATATATTTATTATTAATATCAAGGTACAATCAGCAATTTTAATTAAAATAACAGGCTCCAGCTCCTTTATTGGTTCGAAGATCCGAACCAAAGGTTATATACGCCTTCGAGGCATGATAAGAAGTATATTTATCGAAAGAAATTCCACTTGCAAAGGGTCCGCAGGGGTTAACTACCTCGCAGTAGATTATAATTTGCTCTGCCGCCCTTATGTGTTCGAAGATCCGAACCAAACTTTATATACGCCTTCTAGACATGATAAGAAATATATTTATCGAAAGAAATTCCACTTGCATAGTGACCGCGGGGGTGAACTACCCACCAGTAGATTTTAATTACCCCTACCGCCCTTATTCTACATAAGAATCATATATCCGTTAACAAATAGCCGATGTCTCTCGAGCAGCCGCGGTCTTTTAGCAGGTCTTCTTGCAGTCAGATCACTTTCAGCAAGTGTTCGATGAATGGTTCTTTCACTTATGTCAACCCCACGCACCAGTTGAAGACGATGCCGAGTTTCTACACCTGTCGTTCTACGCTTCCTCAGAGTGTTTAGAACAATAAATCGGTCATCAACTGCTGTTGTCACTCGTCTTTTACCGAAACCTTGCCGCCTAATAAAATTTCCTGTTTCCACATATCGGTTCCAGACACCCTGAACTGTGGTTCGGGGTATACCCAACGTATCGCTGACTTTTGTCATCCTCAATTAAAGTAACAATACGCGCAACATCAATTACTGACAACGGCATTGCTATTATGTTAAAAGACTGAAAATCTTTAACAACTGTCAATTTACTATTCGAAATTATATTTTTTATGCTTGTTTGTCTTGTTTTCACAGGCGTTCGCTTTAAAACACTGCATCTTCGTTAGTAACAGAGATAATAGAGTGAATAAAAAAACTAAATGTTCAGAAAAGATTGGGCTACCGTTTGATTCCAGTTAACACAATCTGCTGTAGCAGCTGTACCCCTGTAGGGTATTACAAATTTCGAGAAAAAAAGTTTTTTTCGTTCTTGCAGCCCGTATATGTTCAAATTAAAATCTGAATGAAAATTTCTATCACAGGATTATTACTGAAGAATCAACCTTTCGATCAAAAAAATAATCATCAAAATCGAATGCGCGATTCGCGAGAAAGCCAGCTTTGAAGTTTTGGCTAATTTATAGTGGCCGTTTTTTTTTGCCGGTCAAAACAGCAGTAAAAGATAGCAGTAAAAATTTGCGATGATACCCGAACGCCCATAGACGTCCGTAATACCGGACACACGGGGGCTCAATTTTTTCGAACAAACAAACATTACATTATCAACTTAAGAAGTTAATTACAGTATATTAACAGTAATTAGACAAAATTAAAATATATTTATCACTAATATCAAGGTACAATCAGCAATTATTACCGATTATTACCGAAGCTGTGGGTAATAATCCTGCGATAGAAATTTTCATTCAGATTTTAATTTGAACATATACGGGCTGCAAGAATGAGAAAACCTTTTTTTCTCGAAATTTATAATACCCTGTGGGGTACAACTGCTACAGCAGATTATTTTTAACTGGAATCAAACGGTAGCCCAATCTTTTCTGAACATTTTGTTTTTTTATTCACTCTATTATCTCTGTTACTAACGAAGATGCAGTGTTTTAAAGCGAACACTGCAAAGCTTGTGAAAACAATTAATAAGCATTTTTATTGTTTTTAATATTTACAATTTTTATCCCCTTAATACATTCTAATATATATATTATCTTCACCCTCTACCCTCTTCCTCCATTTCCATACCCTCGGCTCCTACAAGACGTGTGACAATAGTAGCTGATCACCGTTTTATTGTTCTAAGCAATCGTAGAACTACAGCTGTAGAAGCTCGGTGTGGCCGGGAATTTACAATGAAGTCTATACAGATTTTTAATCTTTGTTAAAACTGGCACCTTAAATCACTGACCTTGACAACAAAAGCTGGGTACCTGAATCAGTTTTGCAGAAGCATTTACATTTTCTTAGAATTACAGAATTGCGTACGTCCTTCATTATTGTAAGCATCTGTTGACAAATAAACAAGAAAGCAAATTTAATTTAATTTTTGATTTGATTTTTCGATCAAAAAATCATCAAAATCGAATGAGTAGTTCGCGAGAAAGCCAGCTTTGAAATTTGGGCTAAATTTTAGTGGTCGGTTTTTTTTTTCGGTCAGTGTATTTAATGTATAACAATAAATACAGCTATAGGAAGCTACGTTTTATTGGAAAACTAAAAATATATAATTAAAAAGTCATAAAGGCTAAGTACCTTAATCGTATTCATCATTGTTCATAATCCAAATTATTTAGAATGGAATTTAGACTTTTTGTACCTTATTCAAGCTTTTTTTAAAATGCATAGGTATATTTGCCAATATTATAATCTAGGTCCTTGATGAACCTTAGTACTGCTCCAACGTCTTATGTCAGTAGGTGTCAGGCAAACCTTTCCGAAAATTTTGAGTCTTAGGCGACCTCTGGCGACATAGTCACACAGAATGTGTTTTCAGCTTGTCCAAAGTTGAAGAGATGGTATGTTAAGCGCGTATAGCCGATCAGGAGATCTGACAGCGACCTTAGATCCCCTTCTCTGAGGCATAAGACCTCTTTGGATTTCTTTGGCGTCAGAGTTATCATGCTCCTCTCCTGTCTGTATCCTGGAAGTTCTTTCCAGCGGAAGGCTACCTTTGAGTCCATCGATGTATTAATCACTTGTTTTATGTTGCTTTTTTTTAGTACCCTTTTAAGCCGGGTTAGTGTCCAATAAAGAGGGTCCTCGCTGCCTCTTTGGCCATCTTCTGTGCCTTTTCATTACCCACAATATCTTTGTGATCTGGAAATGAGTAACTTCATTACTCTTGAGACATGAACCTAACACGCGGAGGAGTTATCCTGACGTATTGGTGAGCATACCGATATTCCGTCTTCAAAACTGAGCAAACTTTTTCTATGTCATAGTTTGATGAGGCTTAAAATATTTTGGTCTATAGGTTGGATTAAAGACGTAACATTAGAAGATAAAAATTTTACAAAGATCATCCCATCTTTAGACCTCAGTTTTGTTGCGGGTGTGTAGAATGTGTAGAATCTCTGACATAAGATTCTGTTTTACCTGTAAAAGGAGACAGAATCTTGGCGAGGTGTTTTGCAAGCTGATACGTAGGAGAATTTATAGTACTGACAATAGGGCATATCTGGTTTATGGATCTTAGGTAACCCATATATTCTTGGAGGTACTGGGGTTTGTACGTATAAACTTCTCTGTTGTTCTGCCGGGATTCCTGTAGATTTTACCAATTCTTTCATTTTCCTTCTATTTTCTCGGTTGGGTCCTTCTTTAATCTTTTGTAGGTGGCTGGATTGTAGGTGGTCAATCATCTACTTTATTATATTAAATTTTATTATTATATTTTAGGATCATCATTCATATTAGACAAACACACTCCGTCCTCCTCTGATGATCAGGAATCTGAGTCAATTATTTCTTCATTCGAACTGTCACATATTCTTAAATCTATATCACGTAGATCTTCACTTAATGGCTTTTTCGTTTCGAAACTCTTCAAACCCAAAGAAACCAAACCACGCAGAATCTAAGATATGAGCTGTGATATGCATTTATTTTCGTGCTGCATTTTTCCAAATTTTTAACAATAAAGACAACTTTATGAATTCAGCCAATGATATGAAATTAGCATGATTAATGCCTGCTATCTGACGATAAAGGATTAAACATCGTTAAAAACTACAGCTAAATTTGTTTTTTCTTACTAACCAATAACGTTATTTTTTTTAAATAGGTATAGCCGGTCATGTTTATAAAACTGGAAAACTTATGAATATCACGGATGTTTATCACAATCCATTCTTTTATAAAAAACTTGATGAGATGACTGATTTTCGTACGAAAAATATTTTATGTTTTCCGATACGAGATGAAAAAGGAATCATAGGTGTTGCTCAACTTTGTAATAAAAAAGACGGAACCTTTACCGTAGACGATGAAGATGTCGCGAAGTCTTTTAGTGCTTATTGTGGTTTGGCAATAATGCATATGATAGCGTATAAACGAATGCAAGAAGCTCAAATAAAGACTCAATTAAGCAATGAATTAATGATGTATCATATGAAAATCGACGACGATATGTTTAAGAAATATCTTAAATGTAAAATTAAAACGACGAAATTTCCGACGTTCGACGAATTTAATTTCTTGCCTAGACAAATTGATTATAATGATAGTCCGTGTTACACTATTGAAATGTTTAAAGATTTGAATCTTGTTGAAAAGTTCGGAATTAAAATGGACTTGTTGACAAGATTTATTTTGTACGTTATGAAAGGATACAGGGATACGCCGTATCATAATTGGAGACACGCTTTTAGCGTTACGCATTTCGCTTACACGTTAATTAAGAAATGTAAGTTAATTGAGAAAAATTTCCTTACACATTTGGAAGCGTTGGCTCTTCTAACATCATGTTTGGGGCATGACGTTGATCATCGGGGAACAACGAACGCTTTTCAATTGAAAATTGGATCTCCTTTAGCAAATTTGTATTCGAGTGAAGGTTCCGTTATGGAAAGGCATCATTTATCACAAACAATTTGCATTTTAAATACTCAAGTAAGAGACATTTTAAAAATAAAATACACAAACTTAAATATTTTTTTTTTAGAAATGTAACTTTTTAGAATGTCTTGATAATCAAAGTTATGAACTTTGTATAGATTATATCAAAGATAACATTTTAGCAACAGATTTAGCAAATCATTTCAAAATTTACCCCGAATTAGAACAATTTATTGATGATAGATTCATTAAGGAACAAATGGACCACCGCAGACTTCTTTTTTCACTTATAATGACTTGTTCTGATTTATCAGATCAAACGAAAGGTTTTAAAACATCTAAAGAGGTCGCCCAACTTGTCTACGAAGAATTCTTCAATCAAGGCGATTTAGAAAAGAAAATGGGTAATAAACCTTTAGATATGATGGATCGGGAAAAAGCTTCGATTCCCGATTTACAAATTCAATTCTTAGAGGATGTTTGCCTCCCAGCTTATAAGTATGACACAAATTTTTTTTAAAACCATTATTTTACCAATTATTTTTAATTTAGTGTTCTAGCTCATTTATTTCCAAAAACATTATGTTTTCTTGATATTTTACAAGAAACCATAACTTATTGGGAAGCGTCGAAAACCGTTTTTGAGATGCATGCATTAAGGGGACAACGTTCCTTCGATATATTAATGTGTCCAACGCTTGAAGATGAAATTGAGGAAATTTTGCATCCTCCTGAAGAAATCGAGGAGGAAATATGTCATGATGATGTACCATATTCGTTTGATCAAGATCCGAGTACCGCATGAATTATTATTTATTACACCGTTAAAACGTTAAGTTTTAAGACATGGTTGTGCATTTGATGATGGTTACCTGTTAAGTATATTTAAAAAGAAAAAAAAATATAAAGTTGTAACTGAGTGATAAGAGTAATAATAATAAAATAAATGTTTTTAGCACTTTTTGAAAGTTACGTTATGTTGTTTTAATTCTTAGATCTAGATTATTTATTAGATCTCTCTATTAATGATGTTGAAAATTAAAGTATTGGATGTTTTATTTGTTGTTTTATTTTATATCTTATAAAACTAATTAAACTTAGTATAAATTTCCAATAAGATTTATTCATAAACATCCTCCATAATTATTAATTTATATGTCGCATAAATAATTAAAGTATAATATGAAATATTTATATAACTTTTAGATGCAACAAACAGTGCTTGTATATAATAATATACATATTTTCGCGCCTGAAATTTACACCCTGCTTGTTGCATCTAAAAGTTAACTAATAAGTTAGTTTAATAGTTTACTGTGAAGGGTCTTTCAGATTTCACTTCAATGAGATCCCGTTTATGTCTGTATTTCCTGAAGATGACTGTCATACGGTCGAAACCGGTAGAAATCTAATTTTTATACAATAAATATCATTGTTTAAGTGCAATTTTTATTTTCATTAATTCACACGATGATAAGGAAAATACACAACTCCAATAAGACGAAGTGACTGAGAACTTTCTCTTAAAAGTTTTTAAAAGCTTTCTCTAAGCTCTCTTGTAAGTCTAGGAGTTGATGCTGTTTCTTTGATGCTCTTGCACTAATTGAACACCAAGCTTTTTAAGAAGAAATCTCACCATTAAGAATTAAGAAGGGAAGAGAACAAACTTAAAAACTAACGACGGCCATTTCTTGATATGTTGTATGATCAACATCAGCTCCGCATTTATTAAGATTGAAAAAAGGTATCACTTCAGGTAATTTCTTCTCCAATTCATCATCTGTGTCATTATGATGTAAAGAAAAACCAAGAGAACAACCTTTCCCTTTTTGGGACAATCTGAGATTATAGAGAGATCCTTCTTAGAACCTAAATAGGATAGCAGAAATTTTTTGCTTCTTTATATTTAGAAAGTTGCTGGTAAATATGGTTTGTTTTTTTCGTAATTCCCACAAAAGTTTTAGGCTGGTATACTAAGTGAGATGGCGCGTATTTTTCGATACATGAGCAACTAAACGATCTACTATATCTCGTGGAGTATTGCTTTTTCTAAACGGTTCTTCGGGTTGCTCATCCACATATACTTTCATATTTGAGACATAGTGAGTATGCGCGTCAACCACAACATGTACTTTTACTCCATATTTTACAAGCTGAGCAAACACTGTCTAAATGAAACTCTGAATGAGCTTCTCATCAATGGGCAAATATTGCGATTTGAATATCAATCGTAGTTCTGATATGAGCGAGTTTATATCTTGTTTTCGAAATGTAGATATGATATTAAAAACTGACATTGCCTTTGGCTCATTGTATAACGAATAATGTTTATTTCAGTGTCATCCAGATTCATACAAAGTTCATACAAATGACCATATTTATTTCTGAAAACCCCTGATAGATATAGAAAATCAAATACTGTTATCTCTGTTATTGATGTTTTCTCTTAGGGGGAGAATCTTTCAATTTTTCACTTTTTTTTATAATTCTTTCCTTTTCTCTTTGAACTATATCCGCAATCATTTGCTCATAGATGAAAAGCAAGAAACATTTAAGAGGTGTTTTAGCTATTTTCCTGTAATGTTTTGCTCCCGGTATGTATGTTATATGTTGTCGGATCTCGTTCGATCATTTCTCTGTTAGGACACTCAATTATCTATTTACTTCTCTTCCTCTGTTCACTGTTTGTTCATCTGCTCACCCAGCTTATTCTCAGAATCCACGCTTTCATACCATATAAAAGCACTGGGAACATGTATCATTTTAGCATTCTACCCTTGAGATGTCGGCTAAGGTCGTTGCTGCATCAGGTGGTCTGGTCATCTGATCATCTGGTCGTTCATCATTTTGTTGAATACAGTTCTAGACTATCCAATTCTCGATCTTATTTTCTTCGTATATTCATTGTTCTCATTCTCAAGTACTTGGGCTTGCCGACCCTTTTCACTAACTTTCCTTTAATCCGCAGTTATTCTTGTTGTTGTTATAACTTTGAGATAATTTTAAATTTGTCTTCTTACTATTCAGTGTGAATCCTTCATCTTCACTTTTTTCCACTACCCAATCCATCAGTCTTTGTAGTCGTATCAAGGATTCTGCTATAAGTATGGTATTGTCCGTGTATCTGATGTGTTGATCGCCCAATGCTTCCTGCTTCCTTTATGAGCTGCTTCTCAATACAAGTTACTCCTCGTTTTATCTGCCACCTTCCCTGTGATTGTTGTGAGTCTTATCAAACGCTTTATTAATCTAGGAAGCACACTTACAAAGGTTGTATATGTCCATTCTTTACTTTTTAAGGCTTCGCAAAGAGTACTTTTATATTTTAGGATTTAAAATAACTGAAACGGCAAATTGATAACGGACAAGTAAATAGAATGCAAATAACTATAAAAAAATAATATAAAATCACGCAGTATACATTAATATAAACGGCTTATTTAATTTTTTAGGCATTTGTTATAAATTTAGCGTATCTTGTAATAATGGCATTCCTATCTGTAGCCAAATGTTAGTTGACTATTATGACTGGCCTTCAGTTATTTCAAAAAAATCCTGCAAAACTGATTGTTGCTCTCTGGCAGTAGTTTTAGCATTTTTAGAGAAGTCGCTTGATCATTATTCGAACCATCACGTTAATATCTCATTATAATCAAAACTTTCAAAATGCTATTGAATCCTTCGTTGTCAAAATGACAAGAAAAGTTGCTATTTCAGCGGTCTTTGTGCCAGAATTGAATTTAATGCACATAGTATCACTGCAAATGGTTATCTGAAATCTTTTCTGGACATCCTTTGCTATTTTTGAAGCCATAAGTTTTAGATTTTGCTGCACTTCTTTAATAATGTGGCGTCTTTTTCTCTCAGTTAGCTTAGATAGGCATCCTGAATCGCATCCTGATCGATTTATAATTTTGAATAACTCCTTGGAATGTAGAATGAGTCTTACCTACTACTTCAGCAATTCGGCGGAAGGATTATCCTTCATTCCGTAGTTTTACCATGATATCCTTTTCTCCGGAGCTTCTTAGTTTTCTTGTTGGAGCCATTTCATCAAACTTCTAAATAGTACATGTACTAGTACAGAAATAGTCCAAATATGTGCTACACCTGTTTTTACTCAATTTTGTTCGAAGCGTAATAGAGGAAATCCCGTACTTTGTGCTGTACATTAACTTTTTCTGCAGTGGCGATCGCACAAATTTTGAATATTTTTCGATAAATCCAGTGCTGCCACAATAAATCACATTTAAAGAATTATTTAATTTTGTACCTCGATAATTACATTAAAAAAATCAAGTTTCTTACGATTTTTAGTATTCAGAGACAATAAAATACTGTAATTGGCTCTGTACATTAACTTTTTCTGATAAGTGTAATAAAAATTTAATAAACTGTCAAATAAAATGTCAACTTTTTTAATAAAAACAAATATTTCTTTATTGCTATCAACTATTACAAAAAGTACACAATAATTTATAATTAACACCCATTTTATTTATCTAACTTTATTTTACATATATAAAAAAATATTTCTTCTGTATTAGTGCAAGCATTAACAAAAAAAAAACACATAAAAATTCGAGTTATTTTCAAAAAAAATTACAATTTTGTTTTCATTTTTATCTAAAGCAATTACAGCAACAATTAGCTATCGCCTTGTTTATTTGGTACGAAATTAATCGAAGCAGAATTGATGCAAAACCTCTTCTTAGTTGGTGCTGGACCATCATCGAAAACATGTCCCAGATGAGCGTTGCATTTCGAGCAGATCACCTCCGTTCTGATTCGACCTGGTTGGGAGATGAGGAGTAGTAGGTTACCTCCAACTACATTATCAGGGGGGGGCACGGTTCAGGTTTATTTAATGGAAGGATACCCAAGGAAATGATGAGGGGTAACCCAAATAAACAGCACCACAGAAAGAAGACCCCAAAAATGTTTTTTTATGTATGTGTGATTTCATAACCAAAGCACGCGATGTCCAAATGGATTTAGGAATGGAATCGGAAAAAAGGATTGAAGAGAAAACAGTTCACATTAGCGTCCCAAAGACACTTATATTTTTTTTCTTGGTTATTTTATTAAAAAAAAATAAATATGAAAACGAAAACAAACATTTAACACACCACACGAAAATTGAATGTTAATTTAGATTTTGAGAAATTAATTTTTGATTTAGTGTTAGAAATATCCTTAAAATTATCAAACTTAATTACGAACAAACAAAATCAAGCTATATTCAATTTTATTTTGTATTTGAATCAAATAATTTAATAATTTTAAGGCTAAAAATCGATTTGGGATGTATAAATACTATTAAAAATTAATTGAATTTCAAAATGACATATTAACCATTCAGTACACGCGCGCAATTAGGCAATTATTTTCCAGAGTTGATCTTCAACGTTGATGAGATAAGTCTTTATTGGAAGAAGTTACCAGCACGAACTTTTATTTCTGATGGAAAGTGATCTGCACCAGGTTTTAAACTTGCGAAAGATAGAATTACTCTTTTGCTAGGAGCGAATGTTTTAGAACCTTTGAAACTTAACCCGATGTTAGTGTACCATTTACAGACACCACGTGTTTTAAAAGATCTCAATAAAGACATGTTACGAGTTTACTGGAAATGCAACAAGAAAGATTAGGTCACATAAGCTATTTTCAGATTGGCATACAAACTATTTTTGCCCTACGGTGCTTCGCTTTTATGAAAAATAAATTAACACCTAAGGCACTTCTTCTCTTGGACAATGCTCCAGGACATCCTCAAAACACCATTGGCTGTCAAAGTTGTTTACATGCATCCAAATACAACATCACCTTTGTAGCCAATGAATGAAGGGGTTATTGCAACTTTTAAGGCATACTATCTCTGCAATACTTTCTTGAATACACTTCAAATGGTGATAGTTTTGGACACCTCAGATAAAACAGTCAAAGACTATTGGCGGTCTTTCGATATTTTAAAATGCATTAATAATGTAAAGTCGACTTGGGATGAAGTTTCGGCAAAATGTTTAAGTGGAGTTTGGCGTAAACTTCTGCCAGCATTAAAGCACGATTTTGAAGAAGTACCACAACAGGAGAATATATTTGAAGACATTACCAGGCTTGCAGGTGATTTGGGATTGGAAGATGTTACTGCTCAAGATGTCACGGAACGTTTAGAAGTCCAAGATCAACCACTCTCAAATGAAGATCTAAAAAAATTTACAAAGAATTGAATCGTGAAATTTTGAGAAAACTTTTTTCTTTAACCTCACTTTTGGTAAACGTCAAACATCAATGGATGATTTTTAAATATTTCTATAAATGAACTTATTTATCCATTATTACATTAATTATAATAAAAGTAGTAATAATTGTGTAAATAATATCTGTTTAGTACTTTAGTGAAATAAAATTCGAATAATAAATTTTAAATTTAATAACTTGTAACTAGCGCCATCTATTGTTCTACGAGTAACCTCACTTTTGGTAAATGTCAAGTATCAATGGGTGATTTTTAAATATTGTTATAAACGAAACTATTCATCGCGGAATCTTAAAATTTCGTATAATACAAACTCAAACGTTCGTTGGTAAGCTCAAAAAGTTTCGTTTCTTAATTCTAACTCATTTTTGAGAAAATCTGTTTTCTTTAACCTCACTTTGGTAAACGTCAAATATCAATGGGTGATTATTAATTATTTCTATATACGAACTTATTTATCCATTAATACATTAATTATAATAAAAGTGGTAATAATTGTGTAAATAATATGTGTTTCGTACTTTAATGAAATGAAATTCGAATAATAAATTTTAAATTTAATAATTTCTAACTAGCGCCATCTATTGTTCTACGAGTAACCTCACTTTTGGTAAATGTCAAGTATAAATGGGTGATTTTTAAATATTATTATAAACGAAACTATTCATCCCGGAATCTTAAAATTTCGTATAATAAAATCTCAAACGTTCCTTGGTAAGCTCAAAAAGTTTCGTTTCTTAATTCTAACCCATTTTTGAGAAAATCTGTTTTCTTTAACCTCACTTTGGTAAACGTCAAATATCAAAGGTGATTTTTAATTATTTCTATATACGAACTTATTTATAAATTAATACATTCATTATAATAAAAGTAGTAATAATTGTGTAAATAATATCTGTTTCGTACTTTAATGAAATGAAATTCGAATAATAAATTTTAAATTTAATAACTTGTAACTAGCGCCATCTATTGTTCTAGGAGTAACCTCACTTTTGGTAAATGTCAAGTGTCAATGGGTGATTTTTAAATATTGTTATAAAAAAAACTATTCATCCCGGAATCTTAAAATTTCGTATAATACAAACTCAAACGTTCGTTGGTAAGCTCAAAAAGTTTCGTTTCTTAATTATATCCCATTTTTGAGAAAATCTGTTTTCTTTAACCTCACTTTGGTAAACGTCAAATATCAACGGGTGATTTTTAATTATTTCTATAAACGAACTTAATTATCCATTACTACATTAAATATAAAAAAAAGTAGTAATAATTGTGTGAATAATGTCTATTTCGTACTCTAATGAAATGAAATTTGCATAAAAATTTAAAATTTAAAAACTTGTAACTAACGCCATCTTTTGCCGGGCGATCGTTTCTATTGACAATTAATGTGACATTAGGCGCGTGTACTAAAGGTTAATAAAAAATGTCATTTTAAATATGAAAATGATTTCATCTCTGATTTAATCTATAAAAAAAAGCGAAATCATAATAAATAATGAGGAAAGTAAATCTTTTTTAAGAAATGATAATTTTGTTATTGTAACCCAACTTGTAAACATTTTTTTTGTTTAATGTTTAGATAATTTAATGAACCTTAACCTCAAAAAATTAGATAAATCCTATCATTCTGGGTTAGAATAATTTATAAAGCAAAACAAAACAGTTTAAATCTTGATTAAACTAATATAAATAAAATTGTTAACATTTATTTATTAAAGATAAAAGATGACCTTCATTTAAAGGTCAATTGAATTATTGTCAATGATATGATGCAATGGAAGGAAAAAATAACTCAATGGCAAATGGTTATCAGCGAAGCGTAAAATTGATAGAAATGAGTAATCACAAAAAAAATATCCCAAACAAAAAGCAAAGACAAACATAAAAAAATATATCAAAACTCAAAATGAATTTAAAACATAAAATAAGAATTTTGTGCATATTTATTACAGAAGAAGGTTAATGTACATAAAAAAGTAGGATTTGAGTTTGGCTTCAGGAACTAAAAGGAGTTATTGTGTTGAGTTTACTAATATTCTAAGTTAAAACGCTAATTGAGAGTTAAATACAACAAATAGGAATTTAAAAAATCAAGTATTGAAATTAAACTAATAAATTTCTGATAAAAAAAAAAAAGAAACCACAACAGAAAAATAAAACGATCTTACCTCCACTTGTATCTGGCAACAATTTAACTTTTCCCTGATCCAAAACATCATTAAAAGCAGGCCAACCACATCCACTATCATATTTAGTATCAGAACTAAATAATGGTTGTTCGCAGCAAATACAAACATAGGTTCCTGTTTCAAAAGTCTTATCGTAACAACCTAAATTATTAAAATAAAAAAAGAATAAGCATATAAATAAATAAATATACAAATAAATAAGTATTAAATAAAATTTTTAACCTGAAAATGGTCTTTCTGTTCCTTTTTCTTGAGTTACATGATATTGAAGGGGCGTAAGACGTTTTCGGAGATCCTCCTTGTCAACCATCTTCACTGCTCAGTGAAATGTGGCGAAGAAAAAATAAAGAATACAGTTATAAAAATAAAAAAGAGGAGAGGTCGAAGCCGTGGTTCCTAACGAATGTCCAAATTTGGAGTGAGTTCACTACTTACCGGTTGTTAAAGAGACGCCTCGAATTCCAACTGATTTAAAAATATTGATGGTCGCGCAACTTTTCCACAAGGAAGGTTTTAACAGTTGCCTTAACATAGCATTTTATTTTTTTACCGCAAAATATATCATTAGATAAACTAAATCGTATTGTTTCGTTGACTTTTCAATTACGTAATTGAAGAAATAACCTCAACTTGTAAACTGTCAAAATGACAGGAAAAATACAGGACCGTAACGAATTTGAAATTTTAAAATTAATAAATTTAAATTCGTCAAATTAAAATAAAATCGAATAATTTTATAACTAATTTATTAATTTTATTTTATTTTTATAGGTTATATAGGTTTATTAATTGATTTTTTTTATTTTTGATATTTTATTTCGATTTCGGCTTAAACACGATCCGTAATAAATATTTTTTAGTATTTGTCAAATCAAATTTGTGTCATTGTAATTAAGAAAAACGGAAATCGATCTTTTTAAATCGAAATGAACCTCACTCGGTTCGAATTAAAAATCTTATTCTAAAAAGGAATAAACCGTCTAGGATTTAAGAGGAATGTCAAAAAAACCGGTACGAAGACGTGCCGGAAATCGATTTGGAACCAACGACGAATCTCATTGTTTTAAAGACATTAAATATTGCCACGAAAATGTTAATTATTACACCAAAGGAACAACAGCGTACCAACATTACCACAGTTACAGATTAAGTAACGGCTACCATCATCATCATCATCATCATCACCATTCTGATAATAACAATAATAATAATAATACGAATTATCGAAACATCCAGGATATAGAATCATCGTCCTCGTTCTCTAGTAGAACCATTTCGAAACCGATCTCGTTTACCAATTACCACGTTCACCGACATCATAAGAAGAATCATCATGTTGGTGGCATCGGCGGCAGCTGTAGTCATCATAACTTTGATAGACTCAAAGTTGTTCATCCGAAGGGATTGGTTTTCGTTTGGCCGAAGCGAAGAAGGTTTTATTACGAGAAGGAACTTTCGTGTCTATTGTGGATGGTTTCTAATGGTTTGTATTGGATGCATGTAATTAATCTGTTCCCAAACGGTGCAGGTAATTAGATATATTCAATTTTATATTAAAAAATGTTTAAAATGATCTTGCCAAATGTATGGTTAAGGATCTTTATGAAATAATCTATATAACTACTTCAAATATCCATTCTTTGATCAAATTATTTGTCAAAAGGTCATGCTTTAAATGAAAAATATAGTAATAGACCGGATATATAAGTTTTATAATTGGAACAATTATACCTTGTCATAATTTTTTTTTGTCTAAAAGAAATGTTCGTGTTGTGAACTTTCTCATATAGTACTATATGTTTCAAGTGTATGTTATTGCAAAATTAAAGCATGAGTTTATGCATGAACATAACTTAGACAATTGAAAAACTTAGACCATGTGTTAATCTTTTCGCAGTATAACTTAGTTCACCATTTCTAATGTTCGCCTTATAAGAAATTCTATTGTTGGGCAATTATTTTTCTTTTTTCTGTTATCAAGTTCGACTCCTATCTTATTACATTCTCTTTTTTCTAATTTGTTTAATTGTACTGTGTTACAATCATAAATTGATTTAACAATTCGTAAATCTGTCATTTGTCGAATGTGTTTGTTGACTGGTGAAGCGTCAGAGTTTATTTACTGGACTGTTCACAATGACAGTAGAATTTAACAGGACTGTAGTATCCATTGTATTTTTGTAGCCCACTACGGGTTGGTTGCTCACACTCTACGTCACACTATTTGCCACGCCCAGTTAACTGTCATTGAATTCTATGCGTTTGCGTGTGTTTTCAGAGGTTATATGATAGACATTTGATTTACTTTTGAAGTTAATATGAATACGTCTACGATACACGATATAACCTCTAAAAATACACAGCAAACGCATAGAACACAATAACAGCTGACTGAGCGTGGCAAATGATGTGACGTAGTATGCGGGCACGTTGACACAACAATAGATGTAGTAGTCCTGTTAGATTCTACTGTCCTTGGACTATTCACATTTAAAGCAAACAATGTCTGGACATACTTTGCCCAGGGTATGAGTTCTACTTTGAAGATCTTATAAGCATTTATAATAAATTCTGCTATGACAAACAGATGTTTGACTGAAACAACATTTCTATCGTTTTATACCAAATCTAAGCAAAAACTGAAATCAACTGAAAGCATCTGGTTAGAAATACATCTCCCAGCTTTGTAAACAAGCAATAATGTAATATAGTTCTGTTTGAATTCAAAGTACACGGTGCAGTTTCGACATTCATAAAGTCAAGCGAAAGTTTATACATACAACTTTAAAATTGAAAATGTCATTATTCATAGTTTCTATAGATGTCAAGCCAGTTTATCGTAATATTCAAATTTCAAAGCTATTGAAACTTATTACTTATAAAAAGTCTGATAGACAGATTCTGTCTATCAGACTTTTTATTAATTAATGGATGTTTAATATACAGACATTGAAAGATTGATAGCGTCATTTTATGATATCACTGATAGGATATACCACTGGCACCGGTGAATAAGCAAATAATTCATCAAATCGCTCAAAATACACTTGAGATCATTTCCTTGCATATAACAATATCCTAAATATATATCACATACTTTAGTTATAAAAATAAATAGATGATCCCTACAATACTTTTTTGGCTACTTGCTTAATATTGTTTTGACTCTTCTGTAAAGTTGTAAAGGCGACTTATCTGCTTATGCATGGGGGGCAAAGATATAGTATTCGAAAAACGTTAAATAGATGAGATTCCATCTCAAGTGGATGGAATGGAGGTATAAAAAACTGCAAGAAGAGTGGTCGTCGGTAGATTTTTGAAAATGTACAGTTTCAAATTGTAAGTCATTGATACTCCAATGATGTAGTTGGCTACTATAGCGCTAACGTGCAACGTAAGCCCATAAACAGTGCAGAGATATATAAAAACACAAATACTATCCATATAAAATTCAAATGTTTCATCATAGAATAGCCCTGACAGAAGAGTGCAAGTTTGTGAAAAAATGACAAACATTATCCAGCAATATCTGATATCTTTGCAATATATAATATATATAGCTATATTAGCGCTCTCTTTTTAGATAATAAATTACATTGTCAAAACGTGAAATATGAAAGTGACGCAAACATTGTGATACCCAATATCAACTAAATGATGAATGACAAGAAATGGAGAATAAAATAGATTCAATTCATCTACAGATGAATTGAATGTTGTTGGTCGACCTCCAGACTAGATATTTAAAATCTAAAGTATACGTAAAAAGTTTGCGACCATTGAAGAATCCTCAGAACATCGATTCTGACGTACTAGGTTATGCGAAGGAGAAAAGTTTGCAACGGTGGTATTACTGTTAAGAAGTACAAGGAAATGACATTGAACATTTTATTTAATTACATTAGTATATTTTTATTTATTTATGAGTGTGGCTTATTTAGACTCGAAACACCCTCATAAAATTTGTATTTATTATCCGACAGTGTGACATTTTTATTTCAAAAAGCAAGGAAATCATATTAGTTATTTATATTACAAGTGGGCTAGAAACATAATTACCGTACGAGTGTGGTGAATCACACGAGTACTGTAATTATGCTCTAGCCCACGTGTGATATACAACATTTTATCTACGACTGCTAAAAATTACATAAAAATCAATTTCTTTAAAATAGTCTAACTTGATATTTATAAAAAAAATATTTTGAAAAAAGTTTCAATAACATGTTTACTCATCTGGAATAAGTGTTTCGAAATGTAAAAACAACAATTAATGTTTATAATAAATAATATTATTTCTGTTTAAGCAGATAGCACTTTTGCTTTTGTATTGTTGCTCGTTTCAATAAATTAAGTCTGTTCTGATTGGGCTAAAAATGCGTTACGTAATGAAACCAGTGCGGTAATGAACTTTATTACGTAACTCAAATCACCTCAAATGAGTGTGGTAATGATGACTTATCCAAGCAGTCGTAAATAAAAGAATTTTTTTTACAAAACTGCCAAGACGACCTTTATTTCAATACACTTGTCACACTTTTTTGTTTGTAGTTACATTCCACATTGATAATCTAAATAACTACATGGAAATCTACTCCTTAAGTATGGTTTTATTGCAAGCCTGACTATTATCCACACGTAATACCTAATATGATTAAAAGAAAGGAAAGTAAGGAAAACTTAGCAAATCACCTGAAACCCCAGAGATAAAACTAAATTAAATGGGGCGTCACAACAACGAAAGAAGCATTACAGATGGAAAATAACGAAAACATTGAAACAGCGACAAATCCACGAATATGGCTAAAAGGAAAAATGACGGCACTTAGACAAGAAACCAACTTGTAAAAGTAATTGTCTTTGCTGAACATTTATAAAATGTATTACTCGAAATACTAGAAAAGCAGTTATTCAGAAATTATTACTACAGCTTCCTATCAAATGGACCTTGCAACCAAAAGTGTGAGTATGTCCGAAATCAACCACACTATTGATGGCCTGAGACCAAAAAAGTTGCCAGGATATGATCTGAGTACCAACACAATTGTGAGGAAAATTCCAGATGAAGAAACCAATGATGAAATTCCTTTACATTTTCAATGTTGTGGTAATAGTTGGCTATTTTTCCATACAATGGGAAACGAATGTAATGCCATATTAGCCTTTTGATTATTGTTCTGGGCTTATACCTAAAAAATAGATTCTTTTTAGTATGACAGAATGATGAATAATCCTTACTCTTAATTGAAATTTGAGTCCCACAAAGATCTTGGGCCTACCTTGTACCAACTATACACCTATTACTAATTCAACGGACATTGATCAATTGGTTCAATTGGACCTAAATTGGCTACCCAACATTTTCAGTACCATCTAGACTTGCTCCACGAGTGGCTGACGACATGGTGCATAAATGTCAATATTTGCGAAATCAACGCACTTCACATTCACTGTTAGGAGAGGGGTAAATGTCTCATCAATAAATCTCAACAACATTCCACTACCAATGGAAAGTCATGTACTTAGGAATACATTTGCATAGTCATCTCACTTGCAGTAAGCATATATGGATGATAGTATTACAGCTGGGAATGCTATACAGGATGTTTTGAACAAACAAATTTGAACAAAAATTCTTGCCTAAGTTATAAAAATAAACATAGAATCTATAAGGTTATACTGATAATGAGACTAATCTGGAAATATGAAATATACAACATTATGGGAAAAATACAACTGGGCGTAATCACGCATTATTTATTCACTTTCATTTTATTTTCATAAATCATGGAATACTGCTTATTGTTGTGTTTGTGTTAACAGATTAATACATATTATTAGACTATTGCATACCAAGCTTCTTCAAGCATTTTCAAGTTCAAGTGAGCCAGACGTGGTAAGTTATGTAGAATATAAAAAAACTGGTTTTAAATGAGTCACAGTGTAGATTTAAAAATTTTGTTGATCATAAATTATCTATCAGTATTTAAGTGTCTGCAATGACGGCTATAGAAGTCCACGTTTTTAATGTCAATTTGCTATGTGTTGTTAATGTTAATTATTTTAATGACTTGTTAGTATTTATGCACTTCGCAGAAAAAGTATAAAATTTTCAAAATATTGCACTTTTAAAAAGATCTTTTATTTGATTGCATTTACCACTCACACATAATAAGTTTACAAAAAGAAATATTAGTTGGGTAATACTGCACTTTTGTGAATCTGGCTAATTATGTATTTTGTCCTATCCAAACCTACAAAGTTTTAATACAGTATTACAAGGAAGAAACAATTGTGCATCTCAGTACTATTCATTCTAGGAGTCCTAAAATTCAGGGAAACCACTATGTTTGCATAGTTTTATTTCACATTTCGATTAGGTGTGATTTTGAAATGTTTTCTGCAGTGGTAAAAAGAATATTTCTGTTAAAAATGAATTTAATAAATATAAATCAATGTCGTAGATATTCATTTTAGCAAATATTCCCATCAGAAAAACAACAGTCTTTTGCTTTAGATAAAGATAAA